GCTGGGACAGCTGACCCCAACTGGCCAACGGGGTATTCCATATCATATGACGTCATGCTCAGCACATAAAGCTGGGGGAAGAAGAAGGAAGGGAGGGACATTTGGAGTGATGGCGTTTGTCTTCCCAAGTAACTGTTATGCGTGATGGAGCCCTGCTTTCCTGGAGATGGCTGAACACCTGCCTGCCGATGGGAAGTAGGGAATGAATTCCTTGTTTTGCTTTGCTTGCGTGTGCGGCTTTTGCTTTTCCTATTAAACTGTCTTTAGGTCAACCCCCAAGTTTTCTCACTTTTACCCTTCCGATTCTCTCCCCCATCCCTCTAAGGTGGAGTTAGCCAGCAGCTGTGTGGGGCTTAAATGCCTACCACAGTTAAACCACAACATTCAGTTAAGTCAATTATTTTCTGCCTACTACATGTGTTTAAGAATTCTATGACATGACCACCTGAAAGTAGTCACAATTGCTTTATAACTCATTTTTCATTCATCATATTCTTATTGCATAAAAGCTTACCGAATGGTGAGTTCCAGTATCTGTGCAAGTCTATCATGAAGCAAGTTTGCCTAGGAAAAAAAATTAAAATCGAATTATTAACTACTATATAATGAACCAAGCTAAAATGAATGTGCCAGGCCATGCTCAGTGAGTGTGTTTCACACCACCACATGGCAAATCTAGGCAGCATTTCCTATCTCAATTTCTTTTGTCACTGCTGAAAGGATTCTGAGCCCTGAAGAGGCATGTGAGATTGAGTGAGCCTGTCTTGAGAGTGCGACGAATTATATAGCAAATTTTGCTGTTGCACATAGGAGTTTAACAAACCTGAAATACATTTAGTTATTCAAAATATACAATGGGGTAAATACTGCTGCAGTTATCCCAGGATGAAATAGGAACGGACCGTGAATCTAGATTTCAAAGATAGTACGGAAAACATTAAGATGAAGAGTGTATGAGAATTCCATTCCTTTTCAAATGGCCTAGGAACAATCAAAAGCACACTTTAAATAACTGGAATTTCCCAACATTAATAATAGTAGAGATAATAGCTGAAGACAAAGAACTGAACTTCTTAATAAGTAACAGCAGCAGTGACATGATAACATAAATCACCTTTTGCCAGCACATCCCCATTAATGCTTATACTAGTATCTTCAATGCTGTAGAACATTTTTCAGAAACTCACTTTGGTTTCACATTGTGCTGCGATTTCTTCAAATGGCGCTTTTTGGAACTTCTCAATCACAAGACGCCTTTTTTCTTTTTCCTGTTCTTCAAGTCCGTTGTTATCTTAAAAAAAAAAAAAAAAAAAAGAGACAAATGTTATCTTTGCCTATCAAGTATAAGTGATATAAACCTTCAAATGTGCATTGCAGAAGCAAACAAACACTGTGTTTGAAGTGATGCAATCATACTCAAGCAAGCTGTCATCTGTCATTACTTCTAAAGCAAAATACAGACACAATTTCAGGGAGCTGGTTTGAGGACCTCAGTTTTGCCCCTTCCTTACTACATGCTTTAATTACGAGTACATCCAGGCTTCCTTTTGTTTTATTATCTGGACTTAAGACTGCACTTCTCCCTCACTGTACACAAGTTCAGGAGTATCCTCCCTCCCAAGTGTCATGCAGACAGGTGGGCAGGATTTTCTATTAGAATTTGGGAAAAGCGAGTTCAACCTCCACAGGCTGAGTGAACCTACAACCAGCTGGAACTTTGCAGCATCTAATGAATTTAAGTACCTCAGTGATTAGGCAGGTTTGGAAAACTGTCAGATTGAATTATTGTTTAAAATATCAGTGTCTATTGTTTAAAACATCCATGTCTAATCCATGTTTCTGACAGGATTTTGGTGGACTGGACAGCATTAATTAGTAATTACTTATAGTGACATGAAATAAGGAAACTGGATAATCCTGAGTTCTGGTAGGTGGGTTGCTTGTCAGAAAAATATTCTTTCAAGCAAATCGGATAGATATGTATCAATACGCTAACTAAAAAATGGAGTGTTTTTGAAGTCCACTAGGTGTACCTTACAACCTATTTTCTGAATGCATTGAAGACCTGAAGATCGTAACATATTAAAAATATTTAAGTTGTGTTATAAATAATCACTCAATGGAATTTGAAAAATCTCACATTATTTATAGCTTGGCCTGTAAGGGCAAATTTAATAGATGACAGGTATTTCCAGATGCTTTACATTCAGTCACATTAGCTTCAGAAAATGAATTGACTAAAATTATCAAGATATCATTTCAGAAATTTAGAAATAAATAACTGAAGTTTTAAATAAATTTACTAGCTGAAGAGAAACAAATGTAATATTTTAATTATGTTATTCTGGCAACACCTTTTTCTCTAGCAATTCCACAGTAAACTAGAACTATGCTGCATAAACACAGTTGTAATAAATCTTACCAATTGCTTTCTTCAAAGCTTCAAAGGTGATTTCTTCAGTATTATTAACCTAAACACAAAGAAACAAACCCCCTTGAACTTCACATATAATAAGCTTCTAAAAAATAAGGAATGTGATAAATACAGAAAGTCAAAATGGCCACAGAGCTTTTCTGCCTTACAAGTTTCTAACAGCTTTATCTGGAGTTTCTATGACAGCTGACAGATCACTAATTCACATTTTTAAGCCACTGCAATTAGTGAGGAAATTTTTATCAAATGCGATCAAGGAAAACTTTCCAAATTCTAGTCAAGATGCTCTATGGCAACAATACTTTGGAAAAGGACTTGAATTTTGGCAGAACACTCCTTTGGGTCAGGAATATGCTGTGGTGTTTCTATGCTGCTAAGCCCCAATACTGGTTCTTAGACAGCTGTTGCAAATAATAGCAATTGCTTCCTGAGACCAGTTGAGTTACCAGCAATGTGATACTAAAATAGGTGGTGGTAGTGGAGGGTAGAGTGAAAAATGGTTACTGCTTTAGGCTAACTTCATACTGGTATGGGCTCCAAATAATTTGGTGCTTATGTCATTGGACCTAAGGGGCTCTTCACAAAAAGCTATGTCTGATGCACTGAAAAAATGTGTTCATTTAGCAATATGAATACCCATTTGCTGCTGCAGATGTACTTCATTAGGAATTGCTTGGGGCTGCAAAATTACTAAAGATGCAAGAACATTTCTCTGAAGAGCTCCAGCTCATGGATCTTTGTGTTTCAATTCTTTACAGACCTCGAGTTTCTATATCAGTAAGTATATTTACAGTGAAACCACTGTGATAGTATTAGGGGAGAATGCTTAGATGGTAGAACAGTGTTCACCTGAATATAACATGGTTTCTTGGCTTGGACTGCCTTAATTTGATCCTTCAAAACTAACTACTTGTAAACAGGCAGCACTTTTATTTTACCTTATAAACACTAATTGTCTAATATGATTTAAGATAAAAGATCTGTAAGGTAACAAAAAGTTATTTCACCCAATTCAGAAGACTCTGAATTCTTTCAATTTTTTAATTCACTGACTTTACCTACTGTAAATGGAAAAGCCAGAAGAAGTAGCTGTTTCCTTTTTACATCAGTGTTATTTCAGTAGATGGAGCTGTAAATAATACTTTTCCAACAGATTTTACTACATTAGCATTGTATCCTCTACCTCTGAATATATAAAAGGTTAATAAATAAACAGCAAAACTCCCTTTAAGTCAAGTATTTGTGGATATGGCTAGAGATTAAGAGTATTCAGGTTTTGAAATAATCACCTTTTATAGGATTCATATTTGGTAAATATTACTTGTTTATAGCAGCCTTTCAGATTTCTAATTAACATCCGCAGTAGTTGCTGATGTATGATTGCATTATATTTGGTTATTAATATCACAGAAGCACTAGCTGCTTTTACAAGTGCTTTCATCTTATAAATGGAGACAACTATGGAATAAAGCATCTTCCTGAACAGGATTCACTAATAGACTTGCCACAAAAAAAAAAAAACTTCAATTGTGCTGACAAAAGAATTGCATTCCTATTGTATACAATAATTGGTATCTTATGGATAAACAGTGTTCTACCTCACAGAGCATAGAAATGATACCATACATCATTAATCCTAAAATTCCAATTAATTAAGTAGTTTATCCTCTCAATCATAAAGCCTTATGCTCCTTTTTTTTGCAGTTTAGTTCTGCTGACAGTTATGGATTGTGTTACATTTACTAATCTACATAGCAAGAGAACCAGATTTAATATCCTCATGGACTTTCTTCCTCCTCTTGAGTTACATCCAGTGTACCATCTTATGTTGCAGGTGGCCAAAAACACGCATTACGATGGAACAGGAATTAGCAAAAATTACAGAGCACCATTACTGAAGGAAGGGGAAGGGGTTGAGTCACCATCCCTAGAGGTACTTAAAAGACGTGTAGATGTGGCGCTTAGGGACATGGTTTAGTGGTGGACTTGGCAGTGCTAGGTTAATGGTTGGACTTGATGATCTTAAGGGTCTTTTCCAAGCTAAATGATTCTATGATTCTATGAAAGTTTTTCAGCTGTTCGTGATTTAGGTATTAAGGTGCAGTCAGCAAATTGGAAAATACTGGTTTTCCCTTTGTATTGTAAACAAACATTATAAAGCATCTAACGGAGGAATACTTTTTTTCATGTGTTTCTGATTAATAAAATTCTTGCTTTTAAAAGAGACAAACAGTAATTCATTATCCAAGACACTACCATATTAAACTGAGAACCCATACAAAGATTTTGATTTATCTACAACTGCTATAACCTCTTCAAAAAATGTCTATATATCAATGCTTGACATAACATGAGCATAATAATTTGAAATCTGAAATAGAAACTTCTCTCACTTAATTCTAGTTTCAGAGATGTTCAATCACATATAATACATGATTTTAAAAAAGGATACTAATGGCAAACACTGCCATTCCTATTATGAGCATTTACTTTCTTTAGAAAGCTAGAAATTGTGATAATCTGCGTTATTTTTCAAACACTTTTTTTTTTGCTTGCTCCTAAACTTTTATCTAGTTTATCTGTATCCTTGCTAAAGCACAATACCAAGAAGTGAACACAGAATATCATCTGAAGTATCATCAGCACAGAGCAGAAAGGAATAATAATAATGACGCAAAACATAAATCACTCCTGTCAGTAAGTTCTAAAATGAGGTTTGCTCCTTTAAAATAGCCTAATATTACATTTTTAACCAACATTCAGCTTGACTCTGTGCACACGTTCTGTTTCATGCCCCTAGCCGGTTTGTGCTTTAAGATGCTAAAGATAGGATTCATTTGCAGGCACAAACACCTCAATTTCAACAGCTAATCTCCATCGCAGCCAGCAGAAATCTGGTTAATAAAAATCAGCAGAACCTTGAAAAAGATTCAGTAGAAATGGAAATTTATTTTAAGAAATACTTCAAATGAAGTGTCAAAAGATGTGGGATAATTTTAATTATAATGCAGTCTTCCTAAGAGATAATTAGCATCAGCTCCTGTACCCTACATACAAACTTTTTGTTGCTACCTTATCCTTCCCATGTCTTTAAAGCACTGTGTGTGCTAAACTCTTCTGGAAGGCAAAAGTGATAGTGTAACACTGCTGAGTCTTCACCTGCCCCTCTCACAGACAGCAGGTCTCCCACTAGTCTTTTATCTGTCAGCCCCATGTTGATGAACAAGACTCTCAGATACTTCAAATGATGCAGGGATACAGAAGCAGGAATTTTATTTGATCCCTCAAAATGCAAAGAAAATTTTTTGAATATTTACTCATAAAATATTAGTCGTTCAGCATATATATGTATGGCTACCCTATATTCTGCAGTACTATCTGTAAAAACTATAGTGACAAAATACTTCACATTTTTATACAGCAAGATCAATATCAGTGTCTTTGACAACACATTTCTACAAATACAGGAGTTAAAAAAAATCAAAACCCCAAAGCATTTAACATCGCTAGAACAATTAGATATTAGACTTTCTGGGAAACATCATTTGCATTCCCTCCCCCTCCCCCCAAAGATGCTTTAAAATATCCCGTGATTTTCATACCTTATCCTCTGTGTTGTTGCCAGGCAGAATATCCACCTGAATAGACACCGTGTCCACAATGCTCTTCCTCCTGGAGAGTCTGTCCTCATCTAGAAGAAAAACAACTTATCTCACTTTGTGTAACAGTTGAAACATGATCAATCAAATTTCTACACACCAGATGCAGATTTGTTTCTATATACCTATATAACCCAAGACCATCTATTTTATTATTTGGATTGTTATGAAAAATGATCAGTTACTGCTCTAAACTATTAAATATGAAGGAAAATAACCTTTTTATTGTCCCTTCCCCCTCTCATCCGAGATCTTGCCAACATTCCCTTGAAAGTCCAGAATTTTAAAAAATGAGATGAGATCTTATTCAAATGCATAATAAATAACATAGTACATTGCTGCAGAGTAATTTACAAAACCCTGAACTTTTCTGGCTGTGAAATTGAAATATTAAGGTCTTTTTCAGAAGGTATTCTGAAACAGAAGAGGGCTTGTTGGAAGATGACTCATTGACAGAAGAAATAAAGATTTCTAAATGGAAATGAACAGCAATCCTTCCTTATTCGTGTTGCTACAAGTATGATACTCAGCGAGTCTAAAAATCTACTTGACGAAAAAAATTCTCTCCATTTCTAACTTCTTACAAATATTTTAGCAAGTCCAGCTAGCCTAAAAAGTTGTCAGAGTAAGACCAACTGTGCTGATACTAAAAGGAGCACAGCAATTTCATTAATGCATAAGCAGATTATGATCAAATGATCCATCAGTTGGTAGATTTTCCTTTTATGACTGCATTCCTGAGACAATACGCCAATAATCTTTTCTCACTTTCGACATTTAATATATTAATATAAGATTAAAAAACCCAGTAAAAATGCATTTACAGATGTGTCATAAAGATCCTCTGACAAACGGAGACTTGAATGGCCTGACTTTCGTGTATCTCATTTACAAAACCATGGATTGCCATGTCACATTTTAGATTTTAGCCGAGATCAGGCCATTTGGATCTGGCCATTATTATTTGACGACCTGCACTGCACATAGGTAGAAGCACTTACAAGCACTTGATACTAAGATAAGGATAAGGAGAATGACTGTAGAACTCCCCATCCACAAGGTAATTTATGCTGTTTCTTCCGCAACCTTTGTTTAATCCACTTCTAGCAAAGCACTTTTGCAGTGCAAATATTGAGCTTGAACAAACAGAATTCGTTCCAGCAGAGCTGAACATACTCAGCTTTTAAAAAATCAAGAAATAACTTTCAGAAGTCATATAAATGAAATGCCATTTTAAGATCAAGCGGCAGTGAAAGAATAAGATTAGTGAAAAACACCTGAATTCTAGCTATCTTCGCTAGGTTCTCAGAGTCCCTGAGCATTTGAAGTAGCATTTTGAAGGATTTACTTAATTTTTAATCCCTGATGGCTCACTGGTACATGACCTAATACATAGAGTCAGAGGAAAGCACCTTAGCCCTCACAAGTAAACACAGGACAAAACTACATCTTTGCTGCCATCTTGCTGCTCTCTCTATAATTGACATGCAAACACCAGAAGATACATTTTTAGGACTACTTTGGATAGCGTTCATTTTTATAATGGATGCCTCACTATACTTGCCTCATAAAAATGCCCATTATTCTCTAATTTCAATACATTAAGTGGGTAAAAAATTGTGAAAATTGCGATTTTTTCTGTTATGCTATAAAGCTCGTCTCCACACACACGAAAGAGCCCAGAGGCACGAGGGCAGTGGTGGAGCCCAAATCCCCGCTGCCCCAGCCCCTACCAGGGCTGTCCCTGGAGAATTGGCCCCATGGGGCAACGTAAGCAGCTCTCTGGGTCACCTCACTGACCGAGTCGGGGTCAGTGCCTGGGGTATGGGACGCGTTGTGGGATGCAGGGGGAACAGCATTTTGGGATTGCACAAGGCTTAGCATGGGATGTTTAGGGGAGGAACCAAGGGTGGGGAAAAGGAGGACTGAGATGGTTTGGGGAGACGCAAGCAAGGCAAACAGAGGGATAAGGGATAAAGGCATCAGACGCATGTAAACCGGTTGCTGATCAGCACATGTACCTGGCCATGCCCTGAGCCTCATCAGTGCAGCCTGTCCCATCTTCTCATTAAATCCCATTTCTCTTTTCCTGGGTGAGGGAGTCTATTCTTTGTGCAGGTGTGTGCATGGGGGTCTGAGCACAGCAACTGGAGTCAGACCACGGGTCTGGAGTGAGTGAGGGCGCACAGCACCAGTGCATGGTAACAAGGGAATATCAAGCTGGACCAGCAGGCAAGTAGATCAAGTGGCCTGGGAGCTGGGGGTGTCTGTGCATGTCTGTCTCTTTGTGTGCCGGTCTGTCTCTGAGGGAAATGCACCTGGAGGGACCAGGAGGCCCAGGTCAACTGTCAGAAAAAGCATGGAGCTTGGGGGGTTGACTTGAGACCCATTACTGTGCACAAGGGGGATCTGTACCAGCAGCTGGACTGGGGCTGTGGGCCTTGGGCACTCACATGCCCAAGTGCTAGCGACTGGGGAGACTGGGAACCAGGAGACAGCTGGTGGATAGACAGTGTCTAAGCCCAGCTACTGGTGGGATGCACACAGAACATATGCACGTATACATGTCCCACTAACAGACCGTTATCCTGAACAGCCAGTGAGTAAGATGAATCACCGTTCCGTGAACAGGTGAGAGGTTCTTCCAACTTTCTACCAAGTTCTTGTAATTTCACTCACAGAGGTAATTAGTACTATCACAAAAATGATACCTATAGCCCTACTACCTGCTCAGGAAAAGAAAATAGGAAGCTACCACATTGTAGAGTTCCAAATCAAGAGTAAACACAAAGGCAAACCTTGCAGCAGCTAACATTGCTATAGGTATATCAAGGAGATAAACAAAAAAAAAGCAGAAAGGAACACTAAGTACAACACAATTTCTGGCCTAAAGGTCTAAAGGCCTTCTAAAAGCATTTTTTTTTTTTTTTGACTGTGCACATCCTATACACACACCACAGCTAGCAGGAGAGCAGGCTGACCTACAACTCATTTTTACCTTTTGACTTGTGTCTGCATTTATGAGTTTTTTTGCCTGATGGAAATAGAGCTAAATTTAAAAAAATTATGTATGTATAGACAAAAAATGATTAAATGTACATTCAAATTATCAGCTTCCCCCCCTCCCCCAAATAAGGAAGAGAACAAGGTACAAAAAGTTGCAAATATGAATGACTTTCAAACTGATAACAAGTACCAAAACCTGAAACAAAGACAGGATGATGATGTTATATCTATAAGTCATTGTTAAGCATTATATCATTGATATTCAGAAATACTAGAAATAATTAGGATAAAATCTTTACTTGGCTTTTGGGTTCAATCATAGCTTTCACAGGAATATACAAAAATGGGTCCATCTTTTACTAAAACTAATGATGTATTTCAAAACACTATATTCTACCATTATAATACAACAGTAGAAATGAAACATTTCATTGAAGCAAAAAATGAAAAGTTTCAGTATTCCAAAATATTCACTTTGGTCCTGATTTAGTTAAATGAAAACCTTGGAAGCTCAATATCCCACAGGATCAGAGATTAATGATCCTAACTGGATATGATAACAGACATGGAACCAGTTTTGGTTACTGCTCTTTACAAAAAGATTGTAAAAAACCCCAGAATAATCTGATTCACATATGCTAAGATTTGGCATTAAATATGGCCGTTTCTCATCACCTGAAGAGGCAGTTAATCACATACCCGCAGCTAAACTCACTTAACCTTGATGTCAGTCAGAACTTACATATCTTCCTGAGTAGGAATGCATTTTTATCAAAGTATCCAAGAAAACCATAGCAAGGTCATTTGGGTACAAACACATCTCAATTTCTAGAAGAGACTTAACATGAATTTCAAAACAGACTACCTTTCTCATTCCATTCTCATTCATTCAAAGACAGTAAAAATTTGAAAACGTAACATTTCCTTACTTGCTACCTACCTCTTCTGCCAATACTAAAATACAATGTTAACTGTATTTTTCGATGCCAGAAGAAATAATCTGCCAAGTATAGCAACATTTTCCTTTTTAGAACAGGACAACCACAACAGAAAACACACACACTGCAGCTGTGTCTCAGAACATATCACTAGTTTGCCTGCTAGCACTTGGGACAAAACCACATCTGCTGTTCTGGAGAACTCATTCCCTCCCACAGCAGCTATCCAAAAAAGCTTATTCAAGAGCAGGCAGCAATGTCTCTAAATCATATTGCAAGTGTGACAGATCTGGCATTCACTGTCCATATGTACTATGTTTCTTTCTATGCGTGAGCTACAAAACATAGGAATCACATTTTCCTGCTAGGTACTTTTATTTCACAAAAAGGTCATGCTTCAGACTGGGATGTCCCATAGTCTGTTACAATAGCAACCAGTTTGTACAGCCACAAAACACACATGGTTAATAAAACAAATTGTTCAAGCAATTTTCTTCAGTAAGTTGCTCAACTGGCTATTGAAAATATATTAAAAGCCGAAAACACACAATGTCACATACTAGCTAGTTGTTCACACACTATTCATGCATCCTGCGTAGCACGAACTCTCACAAATCTTCCTCAGGTGTACTTTATTTTCATTGTGTTACCTGACAGTAAGCTAGCATAGGTATCTAATGGAGGAAAACATAACATTCTCGATTAAATTAACATCTGCTCATTGAGAATTTGACTGAGGCCAATAACTCAAGTCAGCCGAAGGCCATATGGCAAAAGGATGGAATATGTTCCATCCAGTGTTTACATAAAAAGGATAAAGTATGCTGACTTGTATAGTTCTTCCTCACCTGCTAACTCAAGTTAACACAGAAAAACAGTAATAATCACTACTATCTTCTCAGGTATTCTTTGAAAAGCAAAGACTTCATTAAAAAGAGCTGAAGTGGGTTCAAGAACTTTCTGCCCCACCTCCTGAATTTAAGGAAAAAAAATAAAAGGACACAAAGTTGAAACTTCTTAGCAATAATACAGTAGCTAATAAGAAAAAAAGAACATCTTGAGAAAACAAAATTATACTTTGATTAAGTTTTGTTGCCAAGTAGTCACGCTACACTTCACTGGTACACAACACATTAAGCAAGCATTCTTAATAACTGGTACTTAGCAGTTTTGCCACTAATCACCACTTACCTGTTACCTGGGGTACATATGGAACTGACAATCTTTCCACACTGTATCCACTGCCTCCTAATGATTCTGCAATCTTGTTTGTCAGGAAAAATAAATTTTTTTCGTGCTTCTCTAAGGATTTTGGAAGACTGTTAAAGTATATATTTGAAGTTAGTATCTACCAGTAGAGATTTGTTCATTAAGTAAAACACTTTTATAATGTCTGCAAGCAACCAAAAAGGGTCAATGGTAATGATTTGATACAAATAAAACTTGCTCAGTTATTTAGGAATGAATATACACTCCAAAATGAGTCCATTGAATACCTCTGCAATATTTTAATCTACCTTAACACTTCTTGGTTATCTAAATTATGTTCCTCACCTATTCTGCTGCATCTTGAGAGAATATGGTCTCCGTTAAATGAAAAAAACTGCAGAGTAATAGTATTTGCCATTTGCCAGCAACGTGCCCTTGCGAGAAAAAAGGCTAAGGGTATCCCGGGCTGCATTAGGAGTATTGCCAGCAGGTCAAGGGAGATGATCCTTCCCCCCTGCTCAGCACTGGTAAGGCCACACCTGGAGTACTGTGTCAAGTGCTGGGCTCCCCAGGACAGGAGAGACATGGACTTACTGTAGGGAGTCCAACAACGGGACACTAAGGTGGGTTAAGGGACTGGAGCATCTCTCCAGTGAAGCAAGACTGAGAGCTGGGACAGTTCAACATGGAGAAAAGAAGGTGGATCTTATCCATGTGTACAACTACCGTAAGGGACACAGGGTGGTATAGAGCCAGGCTCTTTCAATGGTGCCCAGTGACAGGACCAGAAGCAATAGGCACAAACTGAAACACAGGATGTTCTGCTGGAACATCAGGAAACACTTTACTGTGAAGGTGACAAAGCACAGAGAGGTTGTGGAGTCTCCATCCTTGTAGATATTCCAAAACCATCTGGATGTGGTCCTGGACAGCCTGCTCTAGGTGACCTAGCTTGAGCAGGGGGGTTGGAGCAGATGATCTCCAGAGGTCCCTTCCAACCTCACCCATTCTGTGATTCAGTGAAAATGCATTTTGCTGTGTTACCACTTATATCTGCACAATATGATGCTTGGTGTAAGTGCCTCTGACTACAATAAAAAAAGTCTGAAAACCAGATTTTTTTTTTTTTTTTCATATGCATATATGCTTTTAATGCTTGGTTTTCTTCTGCCTATCCTGTACACTATTAAACCTCTAAATTATTTTTCACATATGCAACGTATTTCAATGATGTGTGATTTTTGATAGTAAAATGGGTACTTCACTGTTCATTAATTCACATTCTATATCTACTTACCTGCATTTGTCTTTGAAAATCGTTTCTGGTAGAAAATAAGATGCTTCCTGACTTCTAGTTTCGATGACCTGAAGAAAACCAAGACAAATAGGACAAACAGAGTAGTTCCATAGCTATTTTCTCCAATGACTAAATTGTTTAAAAAGGTTCTACTGTGGCAGATTACCAACCCTTCACTAACATCTATCTCAGCACAAATGAGGCCTTTAGAATTTCTTTTAAGCAGAGATTGTGGCACTCACCCTTTAGACTAAAAATCTGGTTCTCGTGGTCTTGTGCACATCAGTACTGTTTTACCAAAGCCAGTGGGGTTGTAAAGTCTTATACCAGATGGGGATTTAGTCCATTATATATGGTACCATAAACAAAATAAAAATGCTATACCTTGAGAGAAGAATATTCTGTGCAGTTTTAAGAGTCAGCAAGTAATGCCATTGGAGACCAAAGACAAAGAGCAGTGTTGGTGGACACAAATACAGGAGATCAATGCCACAAGCAATTACTTGACCGGTTATTTACCCATTTTACAATAGAACATGTACTGTTGTAAATGACTTAAATTACTTAACTATGTGTTACCTTGCTGACATGCTGACAAAAAGCAGGAACTGCAATCATCTGACTCAGAAAGTTTAGATACGCTGCAACCAATGCCATGACACCACAACGATTAAACATTGGCAGATTATCCTCGTTGATGATGGCAATGTCCTGAAATACAAAGGATAGCATTACACTCTCCAAGTTAACAGGCTGTCCCAAATATACGCAAGTCAAAATTATTATTAGTAACACTATCTGAGATATGATGACTATCTAGTATTACTTGGCATTTAGAACCTCTCACCTTAAAATTCTAGTCTTCTAGTTCACTCTTGAATTAGGTATATATTGATCTGAAGTTAGAGAGCTTGAAGGATTCAACCCCTAAAAGAAGAGAAATAAATCTACTCCACTCAATCTTCTGTTTTGCAGAGAGTACAAGTTAATGACCGGTAGGTAGTCTCTTGTCCTTAAGATTCCCATAAGGGCCACCTGCTGATCATAACTTTTTCCAGGAAAATCAGAAACAGTAGTTTAATAATAAAAATCTGTCTTGTGAGGCACAGATACAGCACCATAAAGCAAATTATTTAATGCTTATTAGCATTTCTATGTTTATTCAGATGGTATTATTTTTGCTCTAGTAAAACTCCTAATGTCATTTTCATCAAGTAAGGATTTGGTTCAGTGACATATTGTAAAATTAAGGATGCACCCTGCATTTCAGGAGTTTCATAATGCAGGTGAACATTAGGGAATAAGGCTAATGTCAGAGAGTGAACTGACAATACAGGACACAATTTCATCAAACTTCCATGGCACATTCTAGTACTATTTTTCTGAATGCTTTAATTTCAGCACCAATAAACCTACTAAGTTATGCAGTTTCACTGAGGACTGTATGCAAGTATGAGATAATGTTTGATCCTGTAAAAGAAATGTTAAGGAATAAAGCCTGTCAACACACTCATAGAATTTTACTCTAAGGTAAGTTTAAATAGCCCAGTTTGACAAATATTTCCAACCAATCAATTAACCAAAAGCTTTCTTCCAAGGTGAGGACATTCCATATACTTTATACAGAACACTGATGCAAGACTGTAAGAATATCTTGTCAATCTGCTAATGAATATATCAGTGATTCTAAGGAATGTTTCAAAAGATTTCCACATCTGCTGTATTTCCTGAAGAGAACATGTTGTAGAAGTTTGTAACAAATCTGATTAGTTGAAGTTTCCCTATTAATAAATGTTATGTACAAAGTGCACTTCCTTAATGGATCGATCAAATTAGGACTGAATGATTTGCAATTTGAAGATCAATATGCAAACAAAAAGAGTTATCTACATCTCCAATTACCAAAATAAATTGTCAATCAGTGAACCCAACACTGATTCAGACTCATACCTGCAAAGCAATAGCCAATCGAATGAGGTCAATAACCACTTCTTCATTGGCTAGTTCAATTGTGGTAAGAGCTAGAGATGTAAACAGCAGTTCAAAGTTTTTTTGGACATTGTCTTCTTCTTTACAGCCTAAGTAGATGTGTCTGTACAACTGCTGACCATGCTATAAAAGACAAAAAGGGGAAAATGAATATTAAAATTATAGAATAATTTAGGTTAGAAAGGATATTTAAAGGTCCTCTAGTCCAACTCCCTACTCCAAGCAGAGCCAACTTTGATGTTAGATCATTTTGGATAGAGAATTAAAAAAATAAAGAAAACCAGATTACATGTATACACATGCACATGCATACACATACACATACACAAACAAATACCTGATTAATCAAGAAGACCACTAGTTTACTGCCATAACAGTAGCTTCTTTATAAATACTATTTAATTAATGGTACTATTAATAGTACTTTAATACTATAAAGTACTATTTTATTTTATGTAGAAGTGTATGAATGGGCAAGATGATACAGAGAATTGCACATGAATACCACACTGTGTGTCAGACATTGGCACTCATTTCCTACTGAAATATTCAGAAAAAAAAATTGGCCATTTATGAAAAGGAAAAAATAAAAAGTAGATCTCGAAACATTCTCAAGAACGTCCAAGTGACTGAGGACATAAGGGTTATCCTTGTAAAGACATCAAATTTGTTCATTAAGCAAGTCTCCTTGAAGAGCAAACTGAGAAAAAATTCTTCTAGAGGATGTTTCAGAAGATGAGTAGGGCTGTTCTACTACTGTGCATATGGAGACTCTAGCTCTAGTGAAAAACACATGTTATCTAATGAAAGACCCTCAACTTCAAAAGTGACTTTCCTTCCTAACACTGTCCTTAACCAAAGCTTTGTAATGAAACTATTATTTCAACACAAAAAGATGAAAATACAGAAAGGCAAGTTAATAAGCAGGTTTTGTATGCAACACATGACTCAGTACCACCCCAGCATTCTTAATCCGTAGAGGATACAGTTGTATCAGTTGACACAGTTAATCTTCAAGATCTAAGCTTTACCTCTGGAAGTACTAGTTCAGCTTTAGAAGGAGAAAGAAAACTCTTTTTTAATATCTGTTTTTCAAGCAGGGCATATTCACTTAAGAAATAAGAAAGATGCTGTTAGTCTTCTTATTACTTCTAAAATCAAATATATAGTTGTTCAAATATATGTTTTATTTAGAAAAGAGCTATTAGCAAAGCACAGAAGCCACTATGAAATAAGCACAGTAAAGGTTAGCTGTTTGAAGACACAATATATTTGGAAAATAAAAGTAATGAAATTATGCATCTGACTGATACAGAATTGCACTTAGATATGAAAATAAATTATTATGTGAATTTTCTCGACACGAAGTATCTTTCTAGAAAACTGCAAAATGCAAGAAGTTCAATATTTCCCTTTAAAGAAAGGACAGAAATAAACCTCCTGGCTTTGAGAAGGTGGATTGAGATGAAGAACTTTGTGTCTACACCTGGTTTAACTCCACCTAATTTTAGGTACTGAAATTCCTAAGTATGATACACAATTGCCTTAGGATCCCCATCTAACATCAAACAAGCCTTGATGGTCATTCAGATCTTAATGGACTTCTGGAGGTGTTTCACCCCTTTCCTTTGATAATGCAAGGAATCTAGGAAGAGTAGGCTGCTAACATACACAGATAAACTAGGTGAGTAACATTAGGTTTATGATATGCACCTGAAACAGTACCACATGGATAATTATTGAACACCTTAATTCCTGAGGGTTAATAATACATTAGGTTTATGATATGCACCTGAAACAATATCACATGGATAATTATTGAACGCCTTAATTCCTGAGGGTTAATAAATTTTTTTAGAAGACTGTATAATCTTTTCTTGACCTGGTAAGAGTCTCTTTTCCTCTCCCGCCCTCTTTTTCAGATGAGTGTTAACAATTCAAATATTTAGTTTGACAATTAAAATTTTCGTCTAGCAAAATCAGTAAATACAACCTATCCAAACTGTTTTAAATCCTAGACATTAAATCGATGAATTAAGATTTAATCCACTTTTTACAAAGATACATTACTAATAATTGCCAATGTTGGATTATTCTTTATATTTGTATTATTCCAGTATTAATCAAAACAGGTGTAAATATACTGCAAGGAATATCAACTGTACTAACTTAGCAAGAACAATTATCTTGCAATGTTACTTGAAAGCCACACAACTCTATTTTGCATATTATTACATATATAGTATTTTTGCCTACGGACAAATTAACTGCAATTCTTCTGATGTTTATAATTAGAATATTAAATTAAGTCAACACTCTGAAGACACACATTTTTTTATTTCGCAGCTAATAGGAAACAAAAACAAAACAGTATGGGATAGCTGTGAGAAATGAATATATTTTCTCAGGCAGGTAACAGTGATAAACATTCTAAAGCCTGCTTGAGCTGACTTCAGTAATTTTTATTTTTTTTGTTTACAGACATACCTACACGGATAAACTATAGTCAGGAATGACAGAGCACACTAATAACTATATTCATTTTTCCCCACACAAAAAATAAGGTATTTACTGTAAAGAAATGATTTCACTCCACATAAGCATCATCTAAAAAAAAAAATTAAAAAAAAAAAAATCCGTTTTTCTTTAGAACCAAACAGAAGTCAGCTGGCACAATGTCCTATAAAATCAATCTTGTACGGAGGTACGTTTTTCAGAACCATGGTTTAGGTATACACTGTTCTAATTCCATGCATGCAAGGATTTTCACTGAAGACATAAATGAAAATTTTATTCCTTGGAACCACCTCTCAAGTATCTAGAGCACCTCAACATTGAAATCACTGTAATTTGAATTAAAATCACTCAATACTTATCTTTGCAACTTGTTGCAAAAACACAGTTGTAGAAGAAAAGCAAAGCAACTGGTTCAGTTACTTTATCTTCTTTCTACATAGAAAAGTTAACTTTTTAATCTATTACCTTCTTCATGAAGCTCACGTCTTGCCTTGAAATTTTGTCTCGTTTTATCTTTAGATCAGAAACATCTGGTATTATTCTACAAAGGAAACAAAAATGTCGTTTTAGCAAAAAGAAGTTGAAAGGGAAGAGGATGTGACGTATATGAACTATTCAAACAAATCTTGAAGCAATTTCCATTTTAATTATATCCATGTTTAACAATGACATTCAAATTTCAGTTGAAGAGTGAGAAACACAAACAGAATTATGACAACCACATCAGTTTTTTTCCTCTACACAGAATACCACATTCTGTCATCCACGGTTAAACCAGGAGCTATTTGGAATTGTCATTTAAGGTATCACGCACTGAGGCTTATCTGTAAAACTCTTGCCACCAATAAATGACACTGAGCACTGTGCATTTATCAGAACACTACATTAACATTTCATATTAGGAAAAATAAATATTTAAAAATCAACAGTACTTATCTTTCTGATATTAAACTAGAATTTCAAGTAGGCCAAAGCAAACAAAAAGAATTACCGTATCCCTCTGAGCTTTGCTCTGTTGTCATGCCGATCAATGAGATTATGCAGTATTTCCAAGACCAGCTGCCTTAGCTCAGAGTCTTCCATGAGTGAAGGAGACAATAATGGGTCCAGAAACGGGGGAGGAAGTGCATTAGTTATCGCTGTTGCTTTGTATCCTGAAGTCACCTGTTTATTGTTGGAAGTGAAATTAATGTGCGTCATTACTGCATTGTAAGAATTATTTGCAGCTGTCACTCACTTTTTAGTGTGCTTGCTTTGGCAATTGAAAGGTGGATTCAAATGGAAGTAGTGTATTAGTTTTGAAAATTCCTAACCTCACTAGGAATTTGGAAGGACTTTAATACTCATGTTCAAATGAACTCCCTCATCTGTTTTAAAGTGGTATTTCTCAGGATCCCTCCTCTACCAACACACCCGAAAGAAAAAATAAAGGTACCATTTATGAGGTTTTTTTTAAAACGGCCTATGAAAAGTTGCAGGGCATAAAATGAAGATTGTAAATAATTCCAACAGAGACTTTTCTATTTCAGGCTCTGAGCTGCTCATATATGGTACTGAGTATGCTCATGTGAAGGGAAAAAAAAAAAGATAAATCAGGCCCTATATGTACATCTTAAACGTTTATGGATACTACTTTATTGCAAAAAAGAAGGTAAGCAGCAAACATCACTTTCTTAGGAATCTGGTACCATGGTGCTGTTTTTTCTTTTTTTAAACTAATACTACTGCTGACCTGCCTCATTCGATTACTTTTATTTAAAGCAAGCTCTGTAGGCACACAAGGAAAAATTAACTTCGATCTGACAATTTAAATATTCATCAGCTGAACATTTACAGCAGTCAGAAATGTTTAAAAAGTTACTGTCCCTTAAAGCGAAGGTTATCAGACTATTACAATCTCAAAAACAAAACAGGATTCAAAAACTGCCAAGCATACGCTGTTGAGGATGAGGGGAACAAAATAATAAAAAAAATTTAATTATAATAAAAGCAATCATATGTTTATCTAAGACTTTACGTAATAATTGTATGTTCATTATGCATATTCCATATCATTACAGCTTTTACATGTGAATTGTGTTGTACAGGTTTTGGCTGGGACAGAGTTAATTTTCTTCATAATAGCATATATGGTGCTGTGTTTTGGATCTGTGACCAAAACAGTGTTGATAACATCGGGGTGTTTTCATTATTGCTGAGCAGTGCTTACACACAGTCAAGGCCTTTTCTGCTTCTCACACTGCCCTGCCAGCGAGTAGGCTGGGGGTGCACTGAAGCTGGGAGGGGACACAGCTGGGACAGCTGACGCCAGCTAACCAAAGGGATATTCCATACCATATGATGTCATGCTCAGCAATAAAACTGGGGGCAATTTGCAGGGATGCTGTTGCCCTGGGACTGGCTGGCTGGTGGTGAGCAACTGGGTTTTGTGCGGGATTTTTTGCAGTTTGTTTGGGTGGGATTTGTTTGTTTGTTTTTGGTTTATTTTTTATCATTTGTTTTTCTTTTTTCTTGGTTTTGGTTTTTTTTGTTTCCTTTTTTTACTTACTAAACTGCTTCATCTCAACCCATTATTTTTCACTTGTACCCTTCCGATTCTCTCTCCAATCCCACTGGGGAATAGTGAGCAAATGACTGGGTGGTGCTTTAACCCCTGCCAGGGTTAAACCACAGCATGTGAGCGAGCACTATTCCTACAGCATAACCATAGGTTGAAAGGAAACTGGCTGGCAGAGGAGCGTGAGAGCACATGAAGGTATCTAATCAATCATTTTGCAAATGGAAAATTACTAATATTACAAGCATTAAGTCTACAAATAGAAGTGCATACTTTTAATGAAGTGCCAGATTTTAATTGTGTATACAACATTACATTGTCTGCCTGTGTGTATGCACAACAGACTTACTATGTTATGAAGTATCATTCTTTTGTAAAGAATATATGATGGACAATGCTCAGTTCAGTACACAGAGGAGTAGGGTTCAGTAGTTTCTAGTTCTTTATTATGTGTGCAAACTAAACTTTATATACCACAACAAAAACTTTGCTCTGAACACAAATTCCTTCCCACATTTTTTCCACAATATTTATCAATGTCTGAATAATTCATTAAACATCAAATCATTCATAGAATCATAGAATAGTTTGGATTGGAAGGGACCTTTAAAGGTCATCTAGTCCAAACTGCCCCTGCCACAGGAAGGGACATTTTCAACTAGATCAGGTTGCTCAGAGCCCCTTTCACATCTTTCACATCTTTGTGCCATGATGGGATTTTACTTCCATATTCTAGAAGAGGATCCAAAACAACGTTCAGTGTCAAAAATGTTAAATTCCTTTCACATGCACAACTCGAATCCCTTAAAGCATACTTACAGGCTATGCAGCACCCCAAATAATTAGAACAATACTTACCGACTTCAATGGCAATTTTTAAGACTGGTGAGATGAATATTGTTAGGAACAGTTTAGGCATAGCTGAGTCTATCGTTATGAAGACAATGTGTAAAATGACCCCCTGAAGCCCTTTCTAAGATGTTTTCTATCCTTAAATTGCAACTCTGAATGCTCAGCTCTTCTGCAAGCCAGAATCCAGGATTTCATATTCTGACAAGCAAAGAACGGTTTAACTGATTTACCTGACACCACACACAAATTTCATGTCAAAGCAGGGATAGAAACTCATTTCCAGGAAGGCATTTTACTGCTTTAGTCATGAAATCATTCTTTATACCGTTTCTCCTACTTCAGTCACTAAACAGTTTTCAGCTTCTGCAACAAAATAGGCCAGGATTCTATAGGCATGAGCCTCCTTTACTACCCGCTTCCGATTCTTAGGATGTACTTCCAGAAATATTCTTTGAAGGTTTACAGTTGAAAAATGTATTCGTGATAAAAAAGTTAATTATACCTTACAAGAAACTTGGGAAATACTAGAAAGGAAAGAACAATGGTGCCTGAGGCTCTAAGAGCTTGGAGATAGGCATCCATTCCTACAGTTTTAAAAATATTAGCCATTCTACTATTTACAGCTTTTCTGGTGTTAGAGACAAAAGTGATTTCACTTTGATGTTGCCAGCACTGCTGGCAGAACTAGTCAACCCAACCTACTCTATGATGTTCTTTTGGATCTGCATATCCAATTATAACTGATATTGACTAAAGTGCCCTAAGAGACGGAGGAGTATTTGAGCTGCTTGTAATGTAAGTTGGGAAAATGCCACAATTTTACTCAGTAGAACTACAGATCTATGTAATATGAAGCTATGTTTAATTTCATAATACAGGGTTGTAATACTGTACTTATATGTATAAACGTACACATAAAGGGAAACATTGTGTACTTATAATATACTGAACACAGAAGGCTTACCATAAGTAAAGATCTCAATAACATGATTTGAATCCTCCTAGTTCCCAAATCTCTACAATTGGAAAAAAGATGAAAATTAGTTTCTTTGCATATCTTCAAAATATTATTCTAATCCAGACATCGTTCTAACAACTGCGTTTTTGACAAGTGAATACAGCAGTCTTAGAAGGGATACCGGATGACCACAAATAAGGGACAAATATCTCCAAATGAGATGCAATAACTAAATGTTTTTGAAGGATCTAAATCTCCATGTTTCATTCAGAAATCTCTTTGTATCTGAAATGTTCAACAGATACATGCTTGATAATTTTCACAATCATTAGCACTCAGAATTTCTTCTGAATTAAAATGTAATTGAGTCTCTTAAGAAACCAGGACACTTCTTGTTCAAGTCAGACCCCAAAACTTTGAGACCGAATAAAGTTATCTGCAAAATCAGCAAGAAAAACTGAAAGAACCCTCATTTTCAGATCAGAGGAAGGTACATGGAACACCACTTAACCTGTTCTTCATCTGTTCTCATTTTCCATCTGCTGGTACTAAAAGAAGTTAAATACCTATTGGTATATAGTCATATACACACTGTTCTTGCAAGATCTTACAATATAAAAGTGCAATTGGAATAAATTGCTCCACTCAAAGAGACTCTTTCAAGAAAGTAAAAAAAGGTACAAACCCTTTTGTCCACCAAATAGTGTAAGTGAAGAGCAATCCTCTTCACAAATGTTGGCCCCTACATAACAGTGGAAACTTCCACCTTCATGGGCTATAATCCTGGCTATATCCAGTTGGCAGTATCATTCAAATGTCTTGTGTAGCAGAGACCAAATTTTCAGGTAAGTAAATGCAAGACTGTATCAGCAGTCAGAAAGTCTGCTTTATGCAGAATGACATATGCACATTATACTAACATACTACTCAGTCCCATGTTTACAAAGAATCCCATAAAGGAAAACTGCACAGTTAAAACCCCCAAAAAACCTACAACAACTGGTAATCCAAGTATAGAATTCTAAATGGATCCATATTTCAAATACCTTCTTAATGAGTGGTAACTGCCTGGCAGAGACAGATTTCTATCTTCCATGGATAGTGTCCCATACTGCAGATACACAATACTACATGAAAAGCCACCAAGAAGCCAGGAGAATGACAATGACTTCCTACTTAAGCTAGCAGGTGATCAGACATACACAGTACGAAGTATCCATGCATTCCTGGAAAGAATAGCTGCAACCTTTTCAGTGACTTTCCCCATACTGACGAAGAGCAGTCTTTAAACATAATTATTCATGTTACAGGGAAAAAACATTACTTCAGCATATGGCAGCTTTTTAATTATGAGTTTATTACAGGAGTCTGCCCACCTATAGCTTTTTCCTATTTCTAATAAATAGGGAAAATCTAAATCAAAACAAATTCACTGGGATTTCTGCAGTTTGTTTCTTAATCTGAAGTCAGCTTGTACAGAATGAAGAAAAAACAAAAAACATTTGTAAATTATACAGCTATTTGACAAAATGTAGTCATAGTTCAATTTCCCTCATTCACAAAACACATATAAAAGAAGTTATGGAATTAACCACCATTAAGCAGATAATTTCAGAATGTAGAAAGAAGAAATGTTTTAGTGCAAAATAAGTTGCATTCCAATCAGGTATTTTCTATCACTAATATGTTTGGAGATTGATTTCATGTTGCTGACACTGTGCTTGCCTTGATTCTGCATGGCATTTAATACAGCCCTTAATAAGCAAGAATTTGCATTTTACTTTTCTTAATTTTTTTGGCTTCTTAATTTATCAGGATTCTAAAATCTAAATTTTTAATGAGAAATCAAAAAATGTAGGATATACAAACCCAAGGTGACTGGTATCCAGTGATTGTGAAGTTGTCCCCAAAACAGGTACTTTTCCCATAATGAACATCATAATCTCTGATCTCTGGTAATCTGGAAGATTGCTTCCAAAAAATCCTAAATAAAAAGAGAATGAAATCACAGAAGGAAAGAGATACAGGGCCCTTCTCTTTATAAGAAAAGCCTTATAAATACACAAAATACATTTACAAGGTCAAAATATAAAAGCATAAAACTATGATTGTTTTAGGGCATGATACTTAACATATTCATTTCTGCTGAATGACTTTACAGAGTCTTTTCACGACACCGACTTTCTTCTTTGAATCCTAAAACTTTCTAATTTTATCCTCCTTTAAATATATGATTTAAAAGTTGAATATGACATCTGTTAATTTGTAACTAGTGAGGAATTGGAAGAGTTTCTCATGGAACACAGTGTCATTACTTTTGTTTGTTCTTAAGTCCCCATTACAGGTGTGTGAACAGAAATCGCAGCAGTACGCAAGTATTATATAACCAATACTTTCCCTAGAGACTGCCGAGGCGAGCAGCTCCGGTGCCGGCATGATCGGCAGCGGAGAGCTCTAGCGTGGTGCACAGGGGGGTTTCCTGAACCGGGGAACCTCAGGAGGAGCAGAGAGACCTGCCAGGAGCCCGCAGCTCGCACCACAGCAGCTGACAAGACCTGGCCAGGGCCAGGAGCAACTGCGGCCAAGCCCCCGCCCCCCACCCATAAAAGAAGCCCCTGGGGAGCGCTGGAGGCCAGGATCGGCAGCGGAGAGCTCTAGCGTGGTGCACAGGGGGGTTTCCTGAACCGGGGAACCTCAGGAGGAGCAGAGAGACCTGCCAGGAGCCCGCAGCTCGCACCACAGCAGCTGACAAGACCTGGCCAGGGCCAGGAGCAACTGCGGCCAAGCCCCCGCCCCCCACCCATAAAAGAAGCCCCTGGGGAGCGCTGGAGGCCAGGGTGTGGCACGGCAGTGTGCGCAGAAGGGCACGCAGGAAGGGCGCTGTAACCCTGCCGGCTCGACCAGGGAGCAACGGTATCCACCCGGCAGAAGGCCATGGCCTCTCTAAACTCTGCACTCGCCACGACTGATGCTGCTTCGCAGACAAAGCTCAGATGGGAACATGCTGCTACCCAGGTGTCATCAGGGTGTGCCCTGCTCTTACGCCAGTACTGGCCGGCAGCAGTGAGCACACCTGTGGGAGCTGCACCCAGGTAGAGGAACTCCTCCGCTTAGCGACAGAGCTCTGGGAGGAGGTGAGTAGGTTGAGGAGTATCAGGGAGAGTGAGAGGGAGAGATAGACCACTGGAACCGCACCCTACCATCCCTGGGACAGGCCTGTCAGGCACACAGGACATATGATACAGAGGATTCCCTATCCTCTCTCCACCCGGCAGAATGCAGTGACTTAAGGGATAGGGGGCAATGGCGACAAGTTCCTGCCTGGCGCAGCAGGCGCGTCTCCTCCGTGACTCCCGCACCTTCCCAGGTGCCCTTGCATAATAGGTACAAGGCTCTGCAAGTGGAACCCCACAATAATGAGGACGATGGTTCATGTAGCTTGGAGGTATCGCCGAGGTTAAGTCGGCCTATGCCCTGTGTCAAAACCGCTTCCATAAAGAAACAAAGATGGGTCATTGTCAGAGGAGACTCTCTCTATTGGAACAGAAGGCCCAATATGCAGTCCGGACCCACCTCTTAGGGAAGTCTGCTGCCTCCCTGGGGCTTGGGTTAAAGATGCAAAAAGAAAACTTCCTACCCTGGTACAGCCTTCGGACTACTACCCATTATTGCTTCTTCAGGTAGGCAGCAATGAAGTTGCAATAAGAAGTTCAAGGGTGACCAGGAGAGACTGAGTCTGCTGCCTCCCTGGGGCTTGGGTTAAAGATGCAAAAAGAAAACTTCCTACCCTGGTACAGCCTTCGGACTACTACCCATTATTGCTTCTTCAGGTAGGCAGCAATGAAGTTGCAATAAGAAGTTCAAGGGTGACCAGGAGAGACTGCAGGGCCTTGGGACGACTGGTTAAGGGATGAGAAGGACAAATAGTGTTCTCCTCTATCATTCCAGTTGCAGGGAATGATGAGGGAAGAAACAGGAAGAGCCAGCAGATCAATACATGGCTCTAAGCCTGGTGTCACCGGCAGAATTTTGGGTTTTTTCATCTACACCCGGCCTGGTGCACCTTTGTCAAAGGGAGAAAAGGATCTTTGTGCAGGAGTTAGCAGGGCTCATTGAAAGAGCTTTAAACCAGATTTGAAGGGAAAGGGATAAAACCAGGCTCGCTAGGGATAAGCCTGGGGGCGGCATGCCACTGTTTGAGGGACGGTGTGCTAGCGAGGTCCTTCGGTCTGCTCCACCATGTGCTGAGTACACTGGAGCACACCTGAAGTGTCCCTGTACTAATACGCACAGCATGAGGAATGAACAAGAGGAGCTGGAAGCTCTGGTCCAGTCCCAGAGCTACAACATCATTGGCACAAGTGAAACCTGGTGGGACGAGTCCTGTGACTGGTGTGCCATGACGGACAGTTATAGACTCTTCAGGAGGGACAGGCGAGGCAGGGGAGTGGCACTGCATGTAAGGGAGGGATTGGATTGTATGGCACTTACAGTTGGCGACGACACGGTTGAGAGCCTCTGCGTAAAGATGAAGGGGAAAGCAAATAAAGCGCATGTTGCTGTGGGAGTCTACTATCGACCACCCAGCCAGGACGACGACACCGATGAATTGTTCTACAATGAATTAAGGGATACCTCTAGATCAACTGCCCTTGTCTTTATGGGTGATTTTAACTTCCCTGACATCAACTGGGAATATCATACAGCGGACACAAACAGGTCCAGGAAGTTTCTGAAGCACGTTGAAGATAACTTCTTGGCGCAGGTACTAAAGGAGCCGACTAGGAAAAGTATCCTCCTAGATTTGTTGTTTGTAAACAGAGAGGGACTATGAGTGAAGTGGTGATTGGCAGCTGTCTTGGTTACAGTGACCACAAAGTAATTGAGTTTCAAATCGTTGGAGATAGAAGAAAAACTGCCAGGAAAACTTTGACCCCGGATATGGGGACAGCAGACTTTGGGCTGCTGAAGGAGCTAGTTAGTAAGGTCCCCTGGGAATCTGCTTTTGAAGGTATTGGGGTCCATGAATCCTAGTCACTTTTTAAGAGCCATCTCTTATGAGCACAGGAGCAGGCAATTCCAAAGTGTATGGACATTGAAAACAAGGACAGGTGACATGGGAGGACCACAGAGATGCTGTTCGCCACTGCAGGGAGAAAATTTGTGCGGCCAAAGCTCGATTAGAATTCAAGCTGGCCAGCACTGTGAAGGACAACAAAAAGGGCTTTTTAAAATATGTTAACAGCAAAAGGAGGATCAGTGATAACACTGGTCCATTGCTTGATGAGGTCAGTCACCTCACAAATAGGGACGTAGACATTTAATACCTTCTTCGCCTCTGTCTTCAACACCAATGATGGGCCCTGGGACGCCCGGAGCCCTCTGCCGGAAGACTGTGACCAAGGGGCTAATAAACTCCTGGCCGACCCTGAGCTTGTTCGAGACTTGCTGTCCTAGCTGGATGCGCATGTCTATGGGGCCCGATGGGATTCATCCTAGGGTACTGAAAGAGCTGGCCGATGTCATCGCGGGACCTCTCTCCCTATTTTTCGATGGTCTTGGGAGTCTGGAGAGGTTCCAGTCGACTGGAAGCTGGCAAATGTTGTCCCAGTTTTCAAGAGGGGTAAGAAGGAAGACCCTGGTAATTTCAGGCCTGTCAGTCTCACTTCAGTGCCTGGTAAAATTATGGAGAAGGTTGTTCTGGGAGTTATTGAAAAACACTTGAGACAATGCAGTCATTGGTCATAGCCAGCACGGGTTCAGGAGGGGAAAGTCCTGCTTAACCAACTTGATTTCCTGTTATGACAAGGTCACCCATCTAGTTGACCAAGGGAAGCCAGTAGATGTGGTGGCTTTGGATTTTAGCACAGCTTTTAATACTGTCTCTTCACAGTATCCTTCTGGACAAAGTGTCCAGCACACAGCTAGACAAGTCCATAATACGTTGGGTGAGCAATTGGCTGACGGGTCAGGCTCAAAGAGTTATAGCAAAAGGGGTTACATCAGGCTGGCAGCCAGTCACCAGTGGGTTCCCTCAATTTTAGACCCAGTTCTCTTCAGTTTCATAAATGATCTAGATGCAGGAACTGAATGTACATTAAGGAAGTTTGCTGATGATACTAAACTAGGAGGAGCTATGGGCTCCCTTGAGGGTAGAGAGGCCTTACACAGAGATCTGGATAGACTAGAGAGCTGGGCAATCACCAACCGTATGAAATTTAGTAAGAGCAAGTGCAGGATTCCCCACCTGAGACGGGGTAATCCTGGTTATATGTACAAATTGGGGGACGAGAGGCTGGAAAGCAGCCCCACAGAAAGAGATCTGGGGGTTTCGCTTGATGGCAAGTTGAATATGAGTCAACAGTGTGCCCCGGCAGCCAAAAGGGCCAACCATGTCCTGGGGAGCATCAAGCACAGCATAGCTAGCTGGTCGAGGGAGGTGTTTGTCCCAACTCTATGCTGCACTGGTGCGGCCCCACCTTGAGTAAGTGTGTGCAGTTTTGGGCACCTCCATATAAGAAGGACGTCAAACTATTACAGTGTGTCCAGAGGAGGGCAACCAAGATGAATGAAATGTCTCGAGGACAAGACTTACAAGGAGCAGCAGAGGTCACTTGGCTTGTTCAGCTTGGAGAAGAGAAGGCTGAAGGTGACCTCATCGCAGTCTACAACTTCCTCAAGGGGGTCAGCGGAGGGGGAGGTGCTGGTCTCCTCTCTCTGGTGACCAGCGATAGGACACGAGGAAATGGAATGAAGCTGCGTCAGGGGAAGTTCAGATTGGACATTAGGAAAAGGTTCTTCACTGAGAGGGTGGTCAGTCACTGGAACAGGGTCCCCAAGGAAGCGGTCACTGCACCAAGCCTGTCAGAGTTCAAGGAGCGTCTAGATGATGCTCTTAGTCACATGGTTTAGTGTTAGGTAGTCCTGCGAGGAACAGGGAGTTGGACACCACGATCCTTATAGGTTCCTTCCAACTTGAGATATTCTATTCTATTCTGTTGCTGTGCAATAGTATAAATGTAACTTTGATAGAAAGAAGCTTTACTTTAAAAGGTTGGGTTGCGGGTTTTTTTTCAATTTTTTTTTTGGGGGGGGGAAGGTGTTAACATTTTAACTTGGAGTTTTACTGTAATGGTGAGAAATAATCTACTACATATTTGCTACTGCTCTAGAAAGCTTCAAGGCATAAGCAAAGGTACAGATTAGTGAACAACATTTAAGTTACACTCCCCCTCATTCTTTAAGTAAATGAATGCACATCATAAATGCACTGCAATATATATCACTACCATAAAGAGAAAATCTGAAAAAAGGGAGGGGCTATTTTAATGGAATAATCTACAGAAATCGTTTTCAGGATTGTGCTTAAAAGTACTTCAGTTAAGTCACGGTAGCACAAGCGGCCATTAGGTGTCATTGTTGCCGCTATGTTTAACATTAACTTCTAGAAATTTTCAAGTAGCACCTACTAAAATATATTACTGTATATGATTGCTTGCAATATGATTTTCATAAAAGGACTACTATTAGTTCTGTACCAAACGTACAGAGTGATGTCTATTATTTCAAGGACCATATAATAATATAACCAACAAATTTATTATAAGTCCACCAGCATTTTTAATTTTCTTTGAGCTTCTTGGCTATCTACTCAACTCAGTTAACAATTAGAAGAACAATCTTTCAGAAGTCAAATCCGTAAAGCGAGCCCAAGATCTGGAAGCAAGTACAATCAGAGATACCACAATTGCCATTATTCCTTTTTGATTCAAGCTGTTTTAATACCATCTCGTTGAGGAAGGGGGAGAAGGGGAGGAATCTTAAGTGAGCCTATGTTACTGTCATTACTCACCAATTGTTTGAATAATAGCATTCTGGACAATCCTCTCATCGCTCTCCTTGTTGCTGAACTGCGCCTATCACCCAGCTCAAAGTCAACACTGATGCGCAAGTGCTTCAACAAGGTATTAAAAACCTCCAGAACTGTTGGGCCTGGAAACAACACATAACAATGATTGCACCTGTCAAGGGAAAGATGCCTTAAGAAAATGAACACTAACCTTCTCAATCTCTTTTCAGGAGAAATCAGATTAGGCTGAAAAGCGCTGAACTGCGCCTATCACCCAGCTCAAAGTCAACACTGATGCGCAAGTGCTTCAACAAGGTATTAAAAACCTCCAGAACTGTTGGGCCTGGAAACAACACATAACAATGATTGCACCTGTCAAGGGAAAGATGCCTTAAGAAAATGAACACTAACCTTCTCAATCTCTTTTCAGGAGAAATCAGATTAGGCTGAAAAGCGAGATACACTGTTTGAAGGATATGGCCTAGGGATAAACTTTTGAAATGTGCCTACACCCTGGTATTTTAGAAATTATTTTGGAATCAGGAAATGCAGTCAGGTACATATGCGTAATCCATTACTATCAAGGTGTATGGGGTCTAGCTGGGATGGACTTAACTTTCTTCTTAGTAGCCTGGGTGGAGATGTGCTTTGGATTTGTGACTAAAATAGTGTTGACAACACACCAGTGTTTTGGCTGTTGCTGAACAGTGCTAGCAAGTGTCAAGGCTTTTTCTTTTTCCTACTCTGTCCCTACAGAGAATAGGCTGGGTTGTGCAAGAAACCGGGAGGCAGATGGGGACAGCTGACCCAAACAGACCGAAGAGCTATTCCATACCATATAATGTCATGCTCAGCAATAAAAGCTCAAGGAGAGGAGGAGGAAGGGGAGGGACATTTGTTTGTATGGCATTTGTCTTCCCAAGTAACCGTTATGCATGCTGAGGCACTGCTTTCCAGGAAGCGGCTAAACATCTGCCTGTCAATGGGAAGTACTGAATAAATTCCTTTGCTTTCCTTGTGGCCCTGGCTTTTGCTTCACCCATTAAATTGTCTTTATCTTGATCCTTGAGACTTCTCACCTTCTTTCTACCTTCTCCCTGTCCTGTGGGAAAGGGGAGTGAGCAAACGGCTGTTGGCCGGAGTCAACCCACCATGCAAGTTTTACATAGAAAATATGAGTGGTTGCTGAAAGTAAGCACCAACAATGGGTTAAACTTGTACCTGAATTTCAGTTATTTCAAAACCTCGTCCTAAAATCCAGTTCTACATATTAGATCAAATAATGAGCTCTTTTCATAATATGGTAAAAGACTTCACAAGTCTGTGCGCGCAAGTGGGTCTTGTATAGAGAGAAAGGATAGGCTCAGACTCAAGCTAATGA